GTGCCCGAACCTTCACGAGCCTCCGCGAGGACGACCGAAGCGGACGCAACCAGCCGACCACGACCAACGCCTGTACACGGTTGTTAAATTATCTCTCTGCGCTCTCTCCCAACAGTCCCAACCCTCTCACTCTTTCTCTCTTCCCCTTTTGGACCGTTCCTTCGACGTCCCTTCCCGTCCGTCCCTGCAGCTTCCTATCCCCTTCTCTATGCGTCGCGCGCCTCATCTCCTTTTTCTTAGCTCTTCACGCACTCGCACATACGCACTCGCGCGCTCGTGCATGAGATCTCACGGAAGCTGGAATGACTATCGCTACACTTGGTTCTCGAGCCCTGGCTAGTTCTACGATGGGACCGGTATCTCGACTTAACCGACCAGTCATCCGAGGCAGCCAGTGTCTCTCAACGCGTCACCAATACGGTCCGAATATTATGAATTATGCCTGCGATTTATCCTGAAGAGATTATCCGAAAATGCAGCGTTTCTTGAGGTCCCCTCGAGTCGTATCGCTGATACAATCTACTTTTTAAAGATCTTGACACTTCCTGTGAAACCAGTATCACGTTGTATACGATGGTCGACGGATGTTTTTGCATCTTCGTGAAGAATAATATTTTTCATGTTTTAGGAAACTCGAATATCTTTCAGACGAATTTTCCAAGATATGAAAATATTTAAAAAAAAAAAGAATTTTTTTTAATGTCACAGAATACTTATACTACAAACGTGGATATATAATTTTCATAGTTAACGTCTGCTTCTGCAAATTTATTACTGAAATATAAGGATAGTATTATGTTAATATAAGATACATTATTGTTTCTACATAAAGTCTTGAATTGTTTTGAAGTTTAAATTGTTTAAGTTTTCAATGAAATGCTGCAGTTTGATATCATCGGTGTCTCACAGTTTCCTAATGAAATCTTCCTTCCTGAAAGATAAATGAATCTAACTAACGTAGCTCAGTTGTATTGTGAGTTGCCGGAGGCCAGGGTTCATAAAACTTTTTTAACGCTTCGTAAGAAAGAAAATTTTTCCGATCATAAACCTTTATCCTAAATTAGACCAAAATATATTATTCAAATGAGACGTTGATAATTTTAAAGAATTAATTTGAAATAAATAAAAATTCAGACGGCTTGATTTAAATAATACTCGACCATACTTAGAGTCGAGTGTAAAAGCACAAAAAAAGAAGATTGGAATTGAAGTAGTATATCAACTATATTTTTAGAAGCAAGTATTCTGCAGAAGCGCTAGAGCAAAGGAGGCTGCAAAAACTCGCTGTCCTTGAGTTCCATCAGGACGCATATGCATTTCTGCCGTAACACATAGTTTGATGTAGGATCGACGTATTGATAGACTCAAGACTCAAGAAGTATCTCTGAAATAGTAGCGAATATAACGTATTAAAGATACTATAAATATAATGCGTGTGGAAAATAAGAAAATATACTTTATTTCAATAATTTTTTTTCCTTATTAATATATTTCTTAATAATTATAAATTACTCTCAATAATTATAAATATAATTAAATTATAAATGTAACTCTCAATAATATTATAAATATAATATAATCGTTTGTAAAATTTATTTTTATATTACAGACTAATCTCGTTTTTAAAAGCGTAATAAATTATTTAACCAAAGCGCTACTCGATGACTCAGCAATTATCGTGGAAATTTCCTCGATATAACTCGGTTCTCCCATAACAAGTTTTTCTTCTTCTATGCTCTTCTTCTCCTCACTTTTGAGGTCTGTTAGGGATAATGTATCTTCCTGAGATGATGTATCTGACACTTTAAAAGATTATTTTCTTAATAATTCTGATGCATGAAATCATATGTTATAAATTTAACACATTATAAAATAACTTACAATCGCCCTTGAGGTCATCCTCTATCTCGCTCTTTTCATAATCGAAATTTTCATCTTCACTTCCAAAATGTATGTACGACAAAATACATACGAGCATTATAAAAAATAAGTTTGTTCCAATTCCAACACAGGATGATAGAATAGGCCAATAAAACATCCAATAACGTAATCCTGATAAGTGAGCATTTATTATCAGATTGGCAGAATAGAACTCTATATGCCGTGATTGAATCTCAATAAATATAATTGTCACTGGATGGTTCTGGAATATATGAAATTACATCCTGATATTAGATCTCTTACAAAATTACAAACTTGTGAACTTAGAAAGTCTTACTAAGATTCTTACCTGATCCTCTTCAAAGTTATTAAACAATTCAAGAACAATGTCTTGCTTCTCTTCAGCGTTCCCAAAAATCATCATAGGCGAAAACAGGAGAGTTGTAAGCGTATGTAATAATGTGCTACGGTAATGTAACATAGCTGATTTACATATATGGTCTACGAGATGACCATCACGGCTCCGTAATTGCGCGCAAACCATGAACATACCTTGAGAGAAAATTAACTTTCGATAGAATATAACATTAAGAATCTTATTTTAGATCATATACATGAGAACACAATCAATAGGAACTAGAAATGTTTATAACGGTCGAAGCTGGATCTTTAATGCTTAAATAATTTTATATATATATATATATATATATATATATA